TTTTGTGAGTTATCTAGCCAGATTCAGTGAATCCAACTTTTGTACACGAGGAAAAATTACTTTTAGAACACAAACTTGTACATACTATTATTTTGAAGATTCCCGTATTACTTGCATTTTATTTTCCCTTAACCAACACTTGTTTAATCTCCTCATTCTTGTTTTTTGGGCAGTTCTTCAAAATCCCACATACAAATTTCGAGTAATGACAAAATGTAAAATCGAGATATTTGCATATATACTTACTATAGCACTCTAATTGAAAGTAGATATTTTATTTACTTATATTTTCAATACTACATTATCGTTTCAATGGATAAATAAGAATTACACATGACAAACTACTAACGGTGAAATTCGAAATTTGAAGAATGATTGAACAATACAATATAATACTTGGATATTCTCATAGTTAAGTCGAAAATGGAGAATTTTTTTCACTAAACATTTATATTTTTCAATACTAATATTAATATTTCATGGTGTCCCAATGTGAGAAAAAAAACTTACACATAATAAAATGGGAACATATCATCCCATCTTGATTCTTGAAAGAAAGAAAGAAAGGAAAGAAAAATACAAGGCAGAGTATACAATGTGCTTTCTTACATACATAGAGATAAAAGAGGCTCGTGAAATTAACATGACGGATCGAAATTAAGGTACAAGACCAACGTACGGAACAGGTACTATGTACCTAGGATTCAACGGGATCTCCATTGTGTTCTGTCTGAAAACTGTTCCAACAGCCTCGACGACGAAGGCTACGAACTCTAAGGCAAGCTTAAATAGTTCTATGCACATTTCAATCCTCGAAATCACCATTTCTCCTTTCTTCTTCTTGTTTCCTCTCTCTCTCTCTCTAAACTGAGTTACTTATAGTGTCTCTCTCTCTATGTATATGTGAGTATATATATGGTTCAGACATGAATTTGTGAAAACGTTGGTAATGGCTAACACCGCCTTTGGGACTCTCAAGGGACCAGAAAGACCAGCATCTCACCCCTGTCCGACCCCATCCCAACATAATTATAGGGTTAAATGCACTATGGATCGTTCAACTTCGAGCAGAGTTGTATCGGGGTCGCTTATCTTTAATTTTGTGCAATCAAATCATAAGTCTAGCATTTTTCTTGCAGATGTGATCACTTGACTTCAATTTGGTACAACTAAATCATCCCATCTCGATTTTCTTGCAAATCTTGCCACTTTGCCTATCGTCAGCATAACTAACGTATTTGTTGATATCGACATTCAAACTAATAGATAGCTGACATATTTTTTGTTCATAAGTTTTTTTAAAATGTACTTTCTTTTATGATGGACCCAATATATTTTAACGTTCATGTCATTATATTATACTAAATATTTCATGGTGTCCCAATGTGAGAAAAAAAACTTACACATAATAAAATGGGAACATATCATCCCATCTTGATTCTTGAAAGAAAGAAAGAAAGGAAAGAAAAATACAAGGCAGAGTATACAATGTGCTTTCTTACATACATAGAGATAAAAGAGGCTCGTGAAATTAACATGACGGATCGAAATTAAGGTACAAGACCAACGTACGGAACAGGTACTATGTACCTAGGATTCAACGGGATCTCCATTGTGTTCTGTCTGAAAACTGTTCCAACAGCCTCGACGACGAAGGCTACGAACTCTAAGGCAAGCTTAAATAGTTCTATGCACATTTCAATCCTCGAAATCACCATTTCTCCTTTCTTCTTCTTGTTTCCTCTCTCTCTCTCTCTAAACTGAGTTACTTATAGTGTCTCTCTCTCTATGTATATGTGAGTATATATATGGTTCAGACATGAATTTGTGAAAACGTTGGTAATGGCTAACACCGCCTTTGGGACTCTCAATGGACCAGAAAGGCCAGCATCGCATCCCTGTCCGACCCCAACCCAACAGAATTATAGGGTTAAATGCACTATGGATCGTTCAACTTTGAGCGGAGTTGTATCGAGGTCACCGATCTTTAATTTTGTGCAATCAAATCCTAAGTCTTGCATTTTTCTTGCAGATGTGATCACTTGACTTCAATTTGGTACAACTAAATCATCCCATCTCGATTTTCTTGCAAATCTCGCCACTTTGGCTACTGTTAGCTTAAATAACGCATTTGTTGATATCGACATTAAGTGCATTTTTTGTATTGATTTTTCGCCCCCCCAAAAAAAATTATTTTTTGACCGTTATTTTATTATTTAAGTCGTTATTTTTTACTTCTTCTCTTACAGGTAGGATATGCTTTTCTTTCCAACGATCAAAAAATTAATCCTCAATATCACTACCAAACAAGCTCTAAAACTAATAGATAGCTGATATCTTTTTTGTTCATACGTTTTTTTTTTTAAAGTTATTTTCTTTTACAATGGACCCAATGTACTTTAGCGTTCATGTCAATATGTTATACTAAGTGTGACCTCATTTGTAAGCACATTGAAATCGGGTAACGTAACTGCACCAACTTGAAAACGAGTGACGAGATTTACAAGAAAATTGAAGTTGAGTAATCTAATTACACCTGAATTGAAGATGGATGATCCCAGCGTAAGTCGACTTATAATTGAATGACTTATTGTGCATTTAACCCAAATGATAAAATATCCCAAACAAACATAATAATGGGATTGACAACATGAAGAATAATTGGTATATGATAGAGACATGAACGGCCTTGTGGCCATTATCCTAACAGAAATGCTAAATGACTCTGAATTCGGATCTACGAATGAGATTGAGCCACCTGAGCGACAAGGACAGGACCTGTCCTGTCATTGTAACTTCTTTCTTATCCTATTTGAAAATTTGGACCAGCTTCAAAAATTTGAATTTGACCTTATTATTGAGAAGGTTCAATCAGCCTTATCCATTTTTACTTTTTATTGCTATATAATACCAATATTATAGTTTAAAGATGTGTTTGAGCCTCATTATTTGGCATTATAATAAGATGAATAGTATTTTTTTAAAAAATGAATGGTTGAAATTTTTTTGATTTACGTATAATATTATTTTATTAAAAATTGTGTGGTTAAAAGTAAAATAGAGAAATTTAATTTAATGTAATGACAAATAATGGGGCTCAAACGGGGGCTAAATGATTAACATGGCACACGATTGAAAAAAATGCATATTCAGTTAATTTTAATTTTAATTGGCCATACAAATATCAACATCTTGTTTGTTAGATTATTAAGGGAAATATGTTGTCACTTTTTTGGGTTTGCAATTTTTAAGAAAAATAATAGAGAGCAAATCTTTTATATAATACAAAAAGAAATGACAAAAGATTTCAAGATAAAGAAATTACAATAATAAAAAACAAATATGACAAGTCATAATGATATAATTTTTTAGTTTTGCTGTCTTTAAAGATATTTATGTCATTTGCGACTTTAGAATTCTTGATTTCTGGGTTAACGACTTTTTGCCACGACTATCTCCTTCGTAGTGCAAGAGTCTCTAAATAGTGACAACAATTTGCACTCAAGGTTGAAGCTAAAGCTTCAACATAAGTAACATTCTTTTGGCTAATTATTTTTGGATATGTAGCTCAGTTTTGCTATAGATTTTTTAAAATTTATATACTTTAAACTTATTTTTGAATAAAATAATTCTATACGTGGATTCAACTTTTATTATTTTTTAACTACACATTCTTTAAAAAAAATATCGCTCATAAAATCATTCTGAAAAAAAAAAAAAAAAATCTATGTTGTGTAGTGATGAAGGTGGAAGAATCCATTGCTTAAGGTCATTAGCAATTTTTCAAATGAATCATTGGATGGTGGAATCTCCTATCAACAAATAGGAATATTCGTCCTTATTTTGAATGAATCTCACGTTCTCCATAATTATGATAATTTATTATCTCACGCTCTACCAAATGATCAATAATTCCATGATTACAATAGGTTAAGTGAAGAATCCAGGATTTTCATGACAAACAATACTTTTATACAAGTTAATAATATGTAAATGGAGACAGGCCATTTTACAATTTTTTTAATTTAGTAGATATATGTCATATGTGAACTTTAATGTGCTCTTGTTTGAGCCCCATTTTTGGGGGAAAATACATTTTTGAATAGTGTATTGATAGGAAATATGTGATTAAAAAAATAAAGAATATTTCTGAATTTGCATACAATATTATTTTATTGAAGAATGTGATTGAAATGATATCAAAACACTGTTTAAATTTTTTTAATTATTATATATTTATTTTCGTGTTTGATGGCGAAACCATGACATTAACATACATATAGGGCCTGTTTGGTTAGTCTTTCGAAAAATCTAAAGTTGATTATGAAATTAAGAAAATGTTTTTAAATATGTTTGGATAATTTTTGGAAGTATTTGTTTGCTTAGAAAAGTTTTAGAAGAATCAGATTATAAGTTATTAAGTGATAAAATGAATAATTCGTTATTGGAAAGGCCATTCCAAAAGGTCTAGGCGAATTCTTAGTTGGAATTAGAGGATTTTTGTAATTTTAATTGATTTTTTTATCACATTGTGATATTTTATTACATAGTTAAACGAACCCATTTGAAAATAATTGGGTGATAACAAACTTATCAACGATAGGAACCTCGTATTTCCAAGGAAGCTCATCTATAAAAAGTAGAAGTCTTACGTCACTTAGCTAAAATAGACGTTTTTCAAAGTTTGATAGCCAAAATTAGACCACATCAAAGTTTAGTGAGCAATAGAAAACTTTTTAAAAATTTATTGAGTAATCGAAAACGTTTTTCAAAGCTAATGACCAAAATTCGATCACCTCATAGTTTAATAATGTGACGGGACGACACATGTGATCTCTAGTAATCACATCATCAATTCTGTTAAAGATTTAAAATGAAAGTTATGTCAACAAATAACGTTTGAATAAGTTGAGTAGTCAAAATTCGATACTTTAAACTTCAATAAAATACGTAAGTTCAGTGATCATTGGACAATTAAGTCAGCAAATCACATAGTTGTTAAAAATTATGGTTCAGAACTCGGGTTTAAAAACCCTAAACCCCTAAAGCCCAAACAATCTTTATTTTTTTTTGTCACTGCACATTTCTCATTGAAGCCTACATCTGTTCTTGTTATTAATTTTCATACTCAAACAAAAATCAGGGGGGAAATGGGTTTTTCGGCTTCTTTTCGTTCAAGTTATTGTGATGGAGGTTGCTTTCTCAAGGTTCAGGTAAATACTCAAAATGTATTTTCATGGGAAAAAAATGAAATTTAGATATGTTTTAGCTATAGTCATCGAGGTTAATTTTTAGCTGCAGCATTGTTGAAGTTGATAATTTTGAGAATCTGGGTTATGTAATTTATGCAAGTAAATTAATGTCTTTAATTTTGTAGAATGAAATTAAGGATTCAAAGATGAGAAAAAAATTTGTTAGAGCTTCAGTGGCCTCCTCCATAAAAAGCTTGAATATTATGGAAATTAAGGCCCCGAAATCAGTAAAATTCCGAATTGGTGTTCTTGGAGCGAGTGGCTACACTGGTTCTGAGGTATAATGTATTTAATTTATTAGTTCTTCTGTTGTGTTCAATTATTTGTTTTTGTCACTAGTTAAAAAATTTAATCTTTTGCAGTGTGGATTTAGCTTTTTTGTTTAATTTTTATGGGGTTTAGCTTCATCAATGAAATGATTCTTTTTGGCAGATAATTAGACTGCTTGCGAATCATCCAAACTTTGAGATTACTCTGATGACTGCAGATAGGAAAGCTGGCCAATCAATCGGATCTGTTTTTCCTCAGTTGGTCACGCAAGTACGATCCTGGTGCTTCATAATGTGTTGTGAATGTTGGCAAATTTGATAATATAGTCTGTGTGCGCGCACGCGAGAGATTGTGTCTGCATGCATTTTTATGCCCAACTTCTGTGTATAGACTTTCTTTATGATTATCGCCTAGTTATGGTTGAGCCTTTATATGTATATATCTCGACGTACTAATAGAAAGTGAGAAAATGTGATACAAGGTTTCTGACTTCACAAATGGGGGACAAACTGGAATAAAAAGGAAATTCAGTTGGAGTCCTCAAGTTAGTTGATTCTGGTACATCAAGAATTGCAACTAACTGCGTAATCAGCTCTTGGAACTGAATTGGGCGGATTAATGTAAAAAGGGATATGCATCAGAAAGAATTATTACCAAAAAAAAAAAAAAAAAAAAAAATTCTCTCTTTACTTTGCAACTCTTTTCCCTTTGTATATTTACCATTGCCACTGTGATTTTTCTGTGATCTGTTATGCATTGTGAGGGAGAGTAAGGCCTGCTTGTGTACTGATAAATTCTGTTACTTCTTCATATTGAAAGGGTTCCTCCCATCCTGTGGATGGAGAGTATTACAGTCGAATCACATTAAAATATTTGTGACTATTGCATCACTTTCTATTCTCTGTTCTGTGTTGATTTCTTGAGTTTCATAGCAAGAATTGTGTGATCAATTCTCTGCTGCATTTTGCCAGAAACGTGCTGGGGTTCTCATTTTGACTATCTTTTTAATCTTCCTTATAAGATGATATTGCGCATCGATCTTACAGGATTTGCCAGATATGGTTGCTGTCAAGGATGCAGATTTTTCTACTGTGGATGCTGTATTCTGTTGTTTGCCTCATGGAACTACTCAGGTTCATTAATTGTCTCTTCTTGTCTTCCATATTCAGACAGACACTTTGACGCCTGAGAAAATCCTTAGTTCGGACCGTGTGACTAAACTAGTCCATTTATAAAATTGAAATTACTTTTTTACTTCTGATTTTTGAAGTTACTTTGTTAACATGCAGCTATTTTGCTTGATACTGTTAACTACCCTATTCATTTTGCAGGAAATTATAAAAGGTCTTCCAAACAATTTGAAGATTGTCGATCTTTCAGCGGTATTTGCTGAATGCAAATTTTATTTAATGTTTTAAGTACGTCCTTTTGATAATATTAATTTTATTTTACTTCCCTTTTAAGTCATAAAAGCTGGTTATATGTAGGATTTTCGGTTGCGAGATGTTGGTAAATACGGGGAATGGTATGGTCAGCCCCACAAAGCACCAGACTTGCAGGTTGATTTAATATTCTCATGGACCTCTCCTCGTTGAAAAACTTCTGATGCATTTTAATCTTAATAAATCTTCTCATTGTGAAACATCTACAGATTGTTTTGCACTTATGCCTTTTTTACATGTGAACGATTCTTGTTGTTGGTAAAATACAGAAAGAAGCGGTGTATGGTCTGACGGAGATATCTAGAAGAGAGATCGAAGATGCACGTCTAGTGGCAAATCCTGGCTGTTATCCAACTTCTATTCAGATTCCTCTCATTCCCTTGTTAAAGGCATGTCTGTTTCTTATAATAAGTGCTTTTTTATTAGGTTGCCTAACTGCATTGAGTAATTAGATGGCTCTTCTTTTACATAAACATATGCGAAATATAGGAGAAGAAGGGGTTGATCTTGTTCAGACAAAATAAATAATATTACCGAAGTTTTGAACTCATTTTCTACTTTTTATCATTATATTAACTAAAATCTGTTTGTATGATACTCGAATAGTTACTATGTCTTTGGTTTTTACTCCTTGGCGTCATATTCTACTGAGTAGTTTATTGGTAACTGATGGAGTTCAAAGTCACATGCTCATGTGTTAATGATACAAATGAGATTAATTAGTTCTTGAGCTCTAGTTTGGTACAAAATTATTGAAGGGAATATACAGCATAACAAACAAGATTTTGGCTATTTTTCTTCCTTAATACATTTCCCTCCAATTCTTGATAATTCTCTTCAAGAACCATGCAGACGACCAACCCTAGCATCTCATATCTTTTCTTTTTGACAAACCTGAAATTCACCGTGCTTGATATGGGCATATATTATTCCCCTTTCCATATATCTTTTGGATTCAATAGAGTTTGCAAAGATTGAACTTTTGATGGGGTGGGCATTTTAACCTGAACCGAAGATCCGGTTTGGTTCCAAGAAAAACTTTGGAATGGCAACTGAGAATTGAGCTGGACAGTTCTTGATTCTTGAACTGGAACCATGGTATCGAACTCTAAAGTTGAACTTGTCATTTTTATAAGTTTTTATTTTTTATAATTTATCTATTCTGACCTAATGACCCAATATAATGCAAACGAAACTTTAGGATGGAAAGAAAAGTCAAAAAAGTTGATTGTTATATTGTTTTTAGAGGAATGAATTTATGTTGTTTTTTAGGTAAATGAATTCATGTAATTTTTATAAGTTTTCTATTTTTTACAATTTATTCACCCCGACCCAGTGATTCGGTGATTCAGTAGGACGCAAGGGAAATGTTGGGATGGAAAGAGAAGTCGACCATATTATTGTTATGATGTTTTTATAGGAATGAATTTATGTTGTTTTTGGCATTTGTAGAATCTAGTACTTATTGTTGGTTTCTAGTTTTTGGTTTGTTCTTTGAGTATTCAATTTGGTGTTTATGCTTTGGTAGATATTGGATGCTATTTGTTTACATATTATGTTAGATATTTGATGTTATCATGCTAGATATTGGATGTTATTTGGTGACATGATTTATTTCTTCTATTTTTGCTAGATATTGAAAAAGTAATTTGTATTGTCTGCTCAAGGTTTTTAAAAAAGGGTTATGAGTAGAACTAAACTAGAACTGACGATTCGGTTTTGGTTCCAATAATTTATGTGGATCTGAATGATTCCATTTATGAAATACTCGATGTATAATGAGTAGTTCCAGGTATTGAAATACTCGGGCAGATCCACCGGACTCTGAGGCGTAACTTTTAATATGAAATGGTTGCAGGCTAAACTGATTGAAGTGAAGAATATTATCATTGACTCAAAATCTGGTGTTAGCGGAGCAGGTTTAAATTATGTTCACAGCCTTCCTATGGCCTTCCCTATCAAAACTATTATTGTTATGTTCAGCAATGAATCAGTTTTTGATATTTGTTACGCCATGCAGGGCGTGGAGCTAAAGAAGCAAATTTGTACACTGAAATAGCAGAAGGCATACATTCTTATGGTATTACCAGGCATCGTCATGGTGAGTAATCAATTTCTAGGAATTCAATAATCAGTCTCTCTGATAATACTTAGTCCCTGTTTGATTTGGATAAAAATGCTAGTCTAAGTAGATTTTGATGAAAGTTGATTAAATGTGTGGTTGAAAAATTGATGAATATTGTGGGTCCCATTAAATGTGTGTTTGAAAATGAGTTTTAAAAAATGGGGCCAAACAAGGGCTTAATATGCAAAAACTATTAAACAAGTGCCTAAATTGACCATATGAACCTTTTCATGGGGGTTCATAAATGCCATCTACTTTAAGAGATATTATGCCCATGCCTTCCTTCTTGCTGTCACCTTATCGAGCATGTTTTGATAAGCTTATTAATGAGTGATAAGTTACTTAATTTTTTGTCTTCAAACAGGTTGAAGAAAAGTTACCTTTTTCTTACTTCAACTAAAAATGAAGTTACTTTTTTGAAAGTAAAATTACTTATTTCTAATTTTAATCAATAGGAAACAAACACTTGTTTTAAAATTTTAAGTTTACTTATAAACTAATAACTAAACTTTTTAAGCTTAACCAAACATGCTCCAGTGACTATAGAATCCATTTTATTTGTCTGTTTTGGAGATTATGGATTTGTGCATTTTTGTAAAAGCTAAAACAAATTAATGTCATCTTGTTTGGATTATAAATGCATTAATAAATTGTTTTCATTTTATAGTGCCGGAAATTGAACAAGGATTGTCAGATGCTGCAAATTCAGAAGTTACTGTTAGCTTCACTCCGCACTTAATGCCGATGGTAACACTTAAACTAAGATTTATAGTCTGTGCTATCACTCTCTCTTATTCGCTTCTGTTATTCTCCAGAGTCGTGGTATGCAATCAACTATATATGTGGAAATGGCCCCAGGAGTGTCAATTAAGGATTTATATCAGCATTTGAGCTCATTTTATGAGGTAACTGATCCATTCAATAAAACATGTTTGGGGAAGCTTAAAATCTTATTTATTTCTTATTTCAAAAAGCTACTTTTTGTTTCTAAACATGCTTTGATTAATTACGTTCGCCTTACCCTTAAGTGAAAAGAGAGTTATTCTAGTAGTGTTACTTTAATTTCAAAAGATGGAGGAATGTAAAAAATGTTATTATTCCAGGACTGGCGTATGAAAATTTATTTTCTAATTGGCCAGAACTGATTGTCAAAATGTTGTTATCCTGCTTCACAGAATGAAGAATTCGTGATTGTGCTGAAGAAAAATGAAGTTCCTCATACTCGACATGTTCGAGGATCTAATTACTGCTTTATGAATGTATTCCCGGATCGAATCCCTGGAAGAGCAATAATAATTTCTGTTGTAAGTTCTTCTCATCCAGTCCAGATTATGTAGGATCTTTACTTTTTTTTTCTTTGCTCAGTCTCCAAGTGCCATGATGCAGATTGATAATCTTGTGAAGGGAGCTTCGGGTCAGGCATTACAGAATCTTAACTTGATGATGGGAAATCCTGAGAATATGGGACTCCTTTACATGCCTTTGTTTCCTTGAGTATTACGTAAGTTAATGTTCTCGTTACATGTGTTACTCTCCACTCGATTATCCTCCACTAGTGACACCACGAACTCTATTTTACTGTTTTACTGTTTTACTGTATTTGAGGCCATGTGATGAGAGGTATAGAGGTGTAAACTGGTTTGGCATGACTCTGTTTTTGGTATGCCTCTGCCGGGCTAGCCTCTACCTGGTGAATTCGAAATCTTTAAGGCACAGTTACTGGTTTAGCCTGGACCGGGCTGTCCCAAATCCGTGCCAGACTGCCCAACAAAGTTTTACTTTTGGTAGGTAGAAGGCCCGAACCAGAGAAACAATGTTACTTTTTTCCAGTCCTCAGTTGAATTCTCTTTGTATTTTCCTGTATCACCCTTCACATTCACATTCACATTCACATTTATATGCAAATGTTTTTGTTGCTCGGATTCACACAAAATTTAGGACTGGAGACTTTGTCCTAATGCAAATTCAATCATAATTTTGACATCAAAGTTCATATACTCAACACTTGTTAGAGGATTACTGTGCTTTTGATTGCAGGTAATCAAGAGCGATCTTTACCTGTCGAGAAGCCATTGGATGCGTCCAAACAGCTGAATTACTAGGCACCTGCCGATGTTCAATTGCAGAACTTGTTCACAAGCTCAGTTCGACATAATCGGCTCAATGGAGTACTTGTCCTATTTTGTTGTGCTTTATGTCTGTATTCCTGAGATATTCTTTTTCCGATAAAAAAAAATATTGATTTTTTATTTATTTACACTAGAAAATAATAATAAGTGTCATAATGATAATTAGAGGAAAGAATTGAATTTTGGTTTTTCTAATTTCCTGCCCTTTTTGAGTTATTACTTTACTTAACTATCATTCAGGCATGAACAAAAATTCTCTGATGTTGCTGAAACATCTTGGGCTGCTGGTTAAGTACATCAAGATTTTTGGTTAGTTTTTAGGGAAAATTGCAGCAGAGGCCCCAAACCTTTAAAACATTAGCAGACTTTCCCCAAACCTTTAATTTGTTGTAACCGTCACCCCAAACATTTCAAAACGTTGCGGCGGAGGCCGTCTTGGACGGTTTTCATCCAAATTTCTATTAGTTGACTAAGAATTTTTACTTTGACCATATTTTTAATAATTTTGAAAGGGTAAAATAGTAACTTCCATTTATTACATTAAAATAAGTGAGAAAATAAATTAGAAGAAATAAGAAATAAGAAAAAAAAAGAGGCCAGTCGTCTTCGTCCTCCTCCACCTTAAACCGGAACCCAAAATCAATTACCGCCACTGCTGCCTTCACCTCCCCTGTGTTCCACATGTATGTCCATTCCTTCCAAGCTTATAGACGATTGGCTTTTTTAATTGGATTTTAAAATTTGGTTTATAGATTGGAGTATAATTTTGATCGATTGTGATTTGTTTGCACAGAAGGGGATATGTGGCCGCATCATCACAGAGTGGTGTGTCCAGCAGTGTCAGGGAGGGCTTCGAATGTGATGTTGAAGAAGGGGAGAAAGAATCGACCAAAACCTCATGGGTGCCGGATCTAATTATCGGATATTACATGCCGAAAAATCAATCCAAAGAGGTTGACGCTGTCGAGTTGAGGGAGATTCTGTTGAAGAACAAAATCAAATGATACTAAACTGGAAATTTTAAATTTGAATCCAATTTTTCTTCCATTTGACTATGATCCTCAATAGATTATATTACATACTCCACAATTGTTATAGCTTTGGAACTTTTGTTCTCAGGTGTAGGAACAGAGGGGGAGGGGGAGGTGGCGGTGGCGATAATTGAATTTTGGTGGGGGTTGGGAAGGAAGAAGACGACTGGCCTCTTCTTCTTTCTTTTTTTTCCCTTTTTTTTTATTTTTTCTAATTTAATTTTTCACTTATTTTAATGTAATAAATGGAAGTTACTATTTTACCCTTTCAAAATTATTAAAAACATGGACAAAGTAAAAATTCTTAGTCAACTAACAGAAAATTGGATGAAAACTGTCCAAGAGGGCCTCCGTCGCAACGTTTCTAAAGGTTAGGGGTGATGGTTGCAATAAATTAAAGGTTTGGAAAAAGTCTGCTAATGTTTTAAATGTTTGGGGCCTCTACTGCAATTTTCCCTAGTTTTTATGTTAAAGTTGACAGTGATGCCATGTTTGGACTCTCAAGATGACCACATGAAATTCCTATAAAAAAAATAAAAAAAATATATAAAATTAAATAAAAAATAAAAAGGAAAGGACGAACTACATGACATTGGATAGTATTGAGAAAGAGGAAGTTAGAAAATCTTGTTTATTATGATTTCTAGTTTCCCACGATATTGTAAATATAGTATTGTGTGCCAATCCAAGATCATTCTTCTCGAGATGAATTTTTGAGGGTTGTACTTTTTCTTGAAAAACATGTAATCTTAGATTATTCCGTAATATAAAATAAAATCACCTCCTCGCCGTCGCTGCCACCTCCAATGATGAATAAATATGCGTCTTTAGAATCCATATTGTTCACAATGAGATAGCATCTCAATAGACTTCTAGTTAGAGAAGATCAAGTACTATATCAAGTTCCCAAGATGGTATGGATCGAATCATACTAATCTATTGTTCGATAGCAACTTTCGACTCTAATACATAACACCTTTCATCAAGATTTCGTGAGAAGGAAAAGAGAAATCTTAAAAATACGTTCCAATTTCCACGTATTATAATTACTTATAATTTAATCAAACTATTCTAATTCACATATTTTATTATGCCACTTAGTTAGAAAGTGGTTGATGGATAGGATGATAAAATGCGTGTTGACAAGATTTGATTGGATAAAAATATTAAAAGAGTGTTTAAAACAGTACAATAATAAGATATTATGTTGACCATTATGTTAGGATTACGTCACTTTGGGCGAGAGTTGAAATTCAGTGCACGAAAACAAAACCTATACCCAAGAGCTCCGAACCTGGGCTCCTACCCTTAAACCCTTCAACAGTATGCTATATAGATAAGGTTTTTCAACTCCTTTTCCGTCGGCTAACAAGAAGGTAAAATGATTAGATTTCAGTAATCCCAAAAAAGTAAGGATTTTTCATTTTTTTAGTCGGGTTTTGAAGTTTTTTTTGGAGACAGTAAAATGGTTTTAGTAATATCAAGTTGATAATTCTGTATTTTTTATTTTTATTTTTTTTGTTCGTCCACTCGCTGAATTTCGATTTCCAGCCTTCTGCTAGGAAATATATATGGCTTACAAACTAAATTCTCCTGCTGTGTATGGGCTCGAGGGAATTAAGGTAATTCTAGTTTAACTTGTAGCGTTTCGCTCTGTTTCAATGAATTGCTTCAATTTGCGAAAATGGTCATTCGTCCGGGGTGGGTTGCTTGATGGGAAATTTGATAAGGGAAATGTGCTAATGGATAATGAAAAGAAAATTTCTCCGATTTTATGCCAGAGTGGAAGTTTGATATGGTTTTTATTTTTATTTTCTCTTGCAATAATGCATCTCTCTTGAATTTAATCCGAAGCAATTAGAATGATTTTGCAGGAATTGTCGAGGTGTTTGTGTAACTAGGTGTTATTCAAGGAATTGCAGAAACTATAGAAATCAAAGAACTGCTTTTCTTTACAACGAAAATGAGTTTTCATCTGTATGAATAGATAATTTCTATTACGTCTGCCACCATAGCTCCGAAGCAAAAGATGAAAATAAATCATAGATGAGAAATGCCCCATGTGGTTAACATTCATCTCTGGTTTAAGGGGGGTGATTTTCCCTTTGGAAGTGGTTGGAACTTCGGTTATTTTGTCTTGGTAATTCGAGTTATAGAACTACCAAGTGATTCTACTGTCAAGTACACTGTAGCTTGGCTGTGATGATATGTCATTTAAATATGCACAAGTACATAACTTTGTAGGTTGAATATATAATTTTGTTCCATGTGATTACGAGTTTCAGATTACAAATTTGTTGTGTTATGACAGAATTGGCCGTTATGCAATAGGCCAGGTAGTTGCATGTTGAGTCTCAAAAAAAGTGGAACGTGCCGAGTTAGTCCGACAGTTCAGTGCATTATGAACATGGTCAATGGACAGTCGGATGAACCTGGGAAATTACAATTTGGATATATAATGGACAAGTCAAGAAAATTGTGGGATAATGCTCCTCAGCCAGTCAAGAGCTTCCCCTGGAAGAAGGCATCAGGAAATTTCATTCAACTCATTCTCGACCTTGTCTTGGCAGTAATTAAGTACTTATCTCTACCTGTATTCACAATTACATCCATTAGTGAGATGTCTTATTGTGCACATGAAAAGAAGCTATTCCTCGTTCCACTTCCATTTCTGGTTGGTGTCGCTGTAGCTGGGGTCTTAAGAGAAGCAGCCATTGCCTCATCTCCATCTCTCAAGGTGAATTTTGTATGTTGTATAACATTTAACATATTAAATTGAAGGATACTGAATAAAAGTTCCCATAGATGGTATTAATACATAACAAAATTTTCTTTGATCCTTAACTGATCTATAATCTACACACTCAAGATACTGGCTAGGATTTCACAGCTCGAATTTGATACAGGGATTAATAGACCATTTGGACAACGTTATATAGTCCATTCCTTGTATGCTTGTGTTTGTTGTTAATGAATTTCATGGTTGTCGTTATTTTTGTTTCATTTTGCCTTTTATTGTACTACCTCTATTTGTTGTAATTAGTTGATCTTTTTTTGTTGCCTTTGATCATATCAACTCTCTAGTTTTTGGGGCGATGTCATAGAAAATGACTTCATGAAATTGTCTGAACAGTTCATTATTCTATAACATGGAGACTTTGTTTCAGCATTTTATTGTAATCAAACCTTAGAAGGAAGAATTAGATTTGTATTTTGACAGGGGTTATCTTCATGTTATTGCAGAATGCAGAAGTCCCCTGGCATCTGGTTGCCATTGCACTATTCTTCACCTTGCTTAAATTGCCCGGCCCATATTACCCGTATTGGGGGCGTATATTCATTCCACACTTTGCAAATGGTGGATTGTCGAGGATTTTATGGTTTGCATTTCTATTGTACAGAAAGCCTGGAAAGTCATCATCAACAACAGCACCTGATTACTGAGTGCACGGTCAATAAATTAGGCCCTAATGTTGAAATATTTAAACAGGTATGAAATGTCCGAGAAAATAGTACCTTGTGTCTTTTCTGAAGCTGATTTTCTTTCTAGAATGCTTCTTTTATTGGTTATATAGATATCATTTGTTGAATTTACTTGTTACATTGTTCATGGTTTTAGGTAAATATGTAATATAACCACTGAAATGTGAATTTTTTTTCTTTTTCTTTTTCTCCCCCCCCCCCCCCCCCCCCTCTCCTATTCAACTACTTTAATAATTAGAGGTCCTAAAACATGAGATTTTTTTGTTCTCTCTATGCTGCAATCTACTTTCTGTAATTAAATAAAAACCATCTCTGTCACGTGTGGTGAACACTAATAAATAGAACCAATAACAGCATTTACACAATCGAAATAAGAACCATAACCCTTTTGAAGATCACTGTCGTTCCCCCATTTTTAACCATTTGTTTCAGTTACCACTGTAATTTTTACTTTCTCATCAAATCTTTGCATTGGCTCATTTCATTCTCATTCAAAAGGAATTTTCGTAGTTTCATCTCCCATATAATAATGACATGATCCATATAATGACATGATCCATAAGAGACCCTTCTAGAGTATAGCATGCATGCCCAGTCTTGTGTTTTGCGTACTTGGGGTCATACTGTGTTTGGTTAGGGGATGTTTGAGAGTCACTTTTATGTAAAAATGTATTTTAGAATAGTAATTTGATGGAAAATGTGTGGTTGAAAAATAAGGAAATTTTTTTTATTTACGTGTAATATTATTTTAATAAAAAATGCGTGGTTGAAAAGAAGAGAGAAAAATACATTTTGAAAAAAATGGGTACCAAACGGGGGTTTAATGAAAGATGGAAGATCCTTACTTATACAAGCTGTGTATGTGACGCAATATTATATAAAGATATCATATTATTTAGTTTTCATTTTTAAAGTTTATTTTAGAAACATAATTATGATTTGATTTTATAGTATTTCCTTCCTTAGAATAGGGTCTTTTGAAACTCTATATAAAGGGGGCTTATGCGATGAAATTGACAAGCTTTGATATTCAAAATAAACTGATTTCTCTCCCAATTTCTATATTCCTCTCTCTCTCTCTCTCTCTCTCTCTCTCTCTCTCTCTCTCTCTCCCCCTCCCCTTTCTCTTCTTCTCTTCCCTTTCCCTTTCTTCTATAATATTCGTACTGTCGCCTGCATCAGTATGTGTATGTGTAACGCTATATGTGCTGCACCTCCATTTTACTGATTTCTTCTGCACTTGTTGAGGGTGGTCGGAGACAGTTGTTAGTTCCTTTACTCTTTGACATGATATGAAAATATTTTGATGCCTAAATAAAGAACGACTTTACAGTTTTAAATCTGACTTCACACTTTTCTGAATTGATGTGTTCGATATGGTTCTGGCAATCCTTGAAATGTTATATCTTGGTTTTATATTTATTTAGTATCGTTTCCAGTGTGTAGGTAGGAGAGGTTGCTGGATCACGAAACTAAGCTATTTTCGAGATGCATATATCCATCAGGTTTATCTACATCTTCAGAATTCTTTAGGAAGCGATAAAAGTAGTTCATCCCTCTGGTCGGCCAGCAAGCAAGAAGGTTTTAGCTTGAAGATATTGATGGTTTACTGTATTGGATGTCTAAAAGAGAAGATGATAACGAATTTTAGCAGGTAGGGAAGTGCACATTAGAAATTTGTTTTTCCATGTAATGCTTTATATTCATTTTTAGTTGTCGTTTTTCTGGTAAATTTTCTTTCACTTTTGACCAGTCCCAAACTTTAGCATATCTTACTAATTCGTATCCAACCATTAAATTCATAATTTTACATCCAAACTTCGCACGTCCTTAATATTACTATTTTTTTCCTCAATAAATTATAATAATAATAATAATGAAAAAATCAACACATTCTTATTTATTGAACCATTTGTACAAGTTTGAAAGGTTTGGACCAAAAATGCAAAATAAACATTTGAGACCATTTGTGCCAATTTCCCTTTAAAGTTAATTTCCCAGAGAAAAATGAAGTATTTATATAGCAAGTTTATAAAATATATAAGGATAAGTTTTGGTGTACATAAAATATATACATTGGGGGTGTCCACACCCCTCATATGGGGTGAGGGCCACCTCGCGCGGGTCTTACTTCATATGAGGGGTATGGACATCCTTATGTACCCAAATTATGTACACTAAACACAACTTAATACATAATATGTGAGATTGTGTTTCAATCGAGTATCAAGTATTATAAGCATATGGATACCCATTTAAAGGATTTTCAAAGTTCTGATTAGGCGAAAATTACAAAAAATAAAAAATATGCCTTCAAATTTCTATAACTCGATGAAGATCTCAATAGTGAAACTAGAAAAAGGTCGAAGAAGGAAGCTCGAGCTTGTCGTAGATATTTTATAATCATACAAAAAATTTGTAATGATTTTTTAAATTTTCTAAACATCAAAAACTTACAAATTGCTATATATAATTTACGGACTTTGGTGATTTGGGTTGATTTAATGTTTGTTGGGCTCAAATTTTATTTCACTTTTTTGAAAGTTATAAAAAGGGGTTAAACTTTAATAGGCTAATTTGAACATAATTTTTAACACAAATGTGTAAACATTTTGACATCTAAGAACGCATATATGGTCAACGAAATGAGTGAACCACATTATCATACGCATACCTCGTGCGGAGAGTTTTAATGAGCGTATGCAGATATTTTAACACGTTGATAAACAATAAGCATACAATTTATGAATTCGCATTTGTAAAGTTTAACCATTGATGCCCATTACTGAGTAACGGAAATGTTCTTGCCCACAGTGAATAATTTAATCTTGCCTACTTAGAGAGAACCATAATTAAAATTATCCTGCCACATCAACAAGTAGACAATCTTATCCTACCCACCGTGGACACGAGAACAATTTCATACTAAGTAAATTGCATACGTAGTCTTAACTTTGACGAAAGTAACAATCCTCCTCATAACCAATTTTTTGTCTAACTTTTACCATCAATATTTAAGAAATTAAAAGTAAATTCCTCTTATTAATATATATTCGAAAAGACAAAATTATTTTTATTTTCAAATAAAAAAAATTAAATAAAAGTACGAAAATTAAGGGGAAAAAATCATTTCTTCAACCAACCCATCAGAAACCACACCACCCCCAAACCATCTCTGATGCAGTTTTTAACCCATCATAACTTTCGATACGGTATACTTGATAGTAGTTGACAATATAAGAAAGGTGGCATAGATGAATCAAATGTCCATTGTCACTAATCCTAGCATCCCTAAATAATTTATACCACTTGCCACATTCCATGAGTTTCCAATTAAAAGACAGAAATGCAAAATTTCATACACAACAGTGTTAAAGAGAAGGCAGATTAAGCGAGAGCAACAACAACTGCAAAGTGCTTGAAGAACAAGAAAAATATATACAAAACGAGTGCATAAACGATAGTTTGAAATGGCTAAAGATTGTTTCAAAGAAACACAAACTCGACCACTGAATCGAGTTACAGATGCAGCGTAAACATGGAGGAACAAATGGTTCTTGTTAAAATAAACGAAGCATCATCAAACAGTGCCACTACCCTTTCATCAAACAGTGTAGTTCACCTTCGGTTTTACATCGTACAATCACATAGCATAAATGATTTCTCCACTGCTATCAATGTCAAGATCAGGGTCGCTCTCAAGATCTTCCTCCATATCGTCGTAAAGGTCCTCGCTGCCATTAAGATACTGATTTAGATTAGTAGTCCCGGCTGCCGGGATAGTAGCCTCAGTAATTATCGACATGATTTCAGCATCACTCTGCATCGGTTGATCAGGCTCCTCGAACTGGTTGTTTGTCATGTTTTCATCCATAAGATCTGCAGGAAGGTTCTTCAGAAACCATTCGTGGTTCCTGATCTCAGGAATACTTATCCTCTGCCACAAGGTAATAGATGTAAGACGACTTAAGTTGCAATATGCTATACCTAAAACGCTAAAATAAGAAAAGAGTCTCTCTGATATCCTGTTATCACAAAATGGCAGCACCAAGAGTCATGAGCTTAGCAAAAAGGTAAACACACACTATACGAATGATAAAAACACAAGTTAAGAAGTTCAATAGTGACAGAAGAATAAACAAAATTTTATTTCTGGAATAGTAAACCTAAGGACGCAATAAGAGCAAGAATCTTCACGTACGCAAACAAATCTACAAAACTTTAACCAACCTTTGCAGGGTCTGCAACAAAAATCCTTGAGATCAGGTGATGACATTCTGGAGATATATGAACATAATCTGGAATTGAATACTGAACATTCAAGATTCGCTGCAATAAATGAAGCAGGTATTTCAATAAGCAATCTTAATAAGATAATAATCACAGTCATGGCAGGCTTAATAGTACCTGTATCGTCTTACGGAAGTTTTTGGGCTCCTGAGGGTCCTCGAAAGGGTAAGCTCCAACCAACATAACGTACAGAGTTACTCCGCAGGACCAAACATCTGCAATCTGAAAGAGTATTGGCACAGGAGATAAGAACTTAATCTGCTGGTGAATACTGGTATTTTGCAAATTCAGTAGTTATAAAGAATAAAAGACAGAAAGTTTATCTAAAGATTATCCATACATATAGTTGACAACACGGATTAGTGAATCCCAAAATTTGACAGAGACATAAAATAAGTACATATGCTGAGAGGAAATCTTAACTTGTTACTCAATACTAATGACTTAAGAATAAGACAACTAGACAAATTTACATATTTTACCCGCTATTCCATTAAATGTTTGTGTACACCATCCCTATCCCTACCCTCATGGCTATAAGCAGGTTTGAATTGCAAGAGATCAACTAGAGCACATGGCTCGTCCCAAGCTCATTGAAAATCATGTTGGGAGCTGAGGCCAGGCAAGCTAACAACATGTTTTTTCAGCTTTTAGACATTTTCAGCCATGAACGAGCTTTGCTCATTAAGCAAACAAGTACTTCAAGCTTGGTTTTAAAATAATGAGATTATCTTGTACATTCCATAAGCCTAGTAATTCAGCTCAAGCCTTGAACAATCTAGCTTGGGTCGAGTAAGCTCATTACGCCCTTGCCCTCCAGCATCAGCCACACATTTCATCTCTGAAATCATATACTCACCTTTCTTTATGCATGCATATGAACCAATTATTATCTCGTCTTATTCTCATATCTCTCATCCTTATCAGGCACATTCACCTCATACCTTCTCTCTTTTGTTGGATCTTCGTCTCAAAGATCTCCATGCAAAATGAACGGTTTCTCCCTCTTGTTTCCTTTTCTATTATCTACTTAATTCCTTTCTTCCCTAATCATTTCCACCTGCATCTTCTTGTCATATGCTTCTTAAAAAACAAACACATACACCATCAATGTTTCAATATGCCTCTATTATGTCTAATTGGTGTTGTTTGTCCAAAATTGCACTGCTAAAAGTCTACCATCAGGTAACGGAGACTGAAACTTCCCCAGGAAGGTTTTAAAATTTCTGTATAGAAACATCTTGGAAGCATGGAAAAAATTGGAAAAACAGAAGAGTCTATCACATTGTAAAAACATGAAAGCCTCTGTTTCACAAGCCAATCATGCAACTTGTCTGATCAACTTGCAATACTGAAAAACGAATAGCAAGTTGCTCAACTAGCTCTCTGAAAGAATTGAAGCATTATAAATTACTCACCTTGCCATCATATTCTTTCTTTAGTAGCACTTCGGGAGCGATATATGCAGGAGTACCAACTGTTGACTTTGGTTGGGAATGCAGCACCGAGGACTGAAAATAAGTGAATAATAATAGTTACACACAACAAAGAAACCAGATAAATGAGAAGTATCTAGTTCCCTGCTAACACCAGGGATATGAAGGCAAAAATATGTTCATGACCAACAGTTTCCTTTTAAAGTTTAAAACGACGGAGCATTTTTTGCATATAATGATTCGTGAGAACCTTCGGAAATTACCCAGTATCTAATACAACTCGTTTTCAAGCAAAAGGGATCCAGAAACACGATGCTGTCTCAAATGCGAGCTAAATATTTATCCAACAATTAAAAAATAAAAGGTACAAGAAAGCCGTCATCTACCTTCGAATAGCCGAAATCGCAAATTTTTAAACGAGGAGCTTGACTTCCATCCAATAAAGTATTCTCTAGTTTCAAGTCTCGATGACATATTTGCTAAAAAAAAAGAAAAAGAAAAAAAACACACATATCAGTTTGCAGGTAAGCAAGTATCTTCATTTTAGTTTAAGCAGGATCACTAAGACAGAGAGTTTATTAGTACCATAGCATGACAGTAGCTGACCCCCGATATGAGTTGCTGGAAGAAGAAACGTGCCTACAGCAGAATTTATAGCAGTGACATCATTAACATAAACAGGGAGCCATCGACAACCAAAATCAATGCAGTAGAAGTACCTCGTCCTCACTGAACCGTCCAGCATTGCATATCCGTTCAAACAGCTCTCCACCAGCTGCATATTCCATGACAATAGCCAAATGGGTAGGCGTCAATATGACCTAGAACAAAACTTATCGTGATGAGAACCACCAAGTCATATAATTGAAACACACTTATATTTTGCAAATGAATTTACCTCTTTAAATCGGACAATGTTGGGATGCCTCAGAGATCTGTGGTTGATAATTTCTCGCTTTACATTTTCATCAATCTGTCATATAGCATGTAAAATTGAGAATAAAACAAGCAAAGTTATACTTGGGGAGCCTGACACCATATTATAAATACAACATAACTCCTCTCGCTTATGATGCCTAGAATTACACAAGTTTTCCTAATGAAAACCATGATCCTATATCATTGAACACTAGAATTTGAAATAAAAGCACGATCCCATCTCATCAAACACTAGAATTTGAAAGAAAAAAATACTGCCTATTCACAAGCAATGAATCGAATGTGGAAGTAAACTCCAATCACGGAAAAAGAGAAGGGGGAGAAAAATAAAATTTAAATCTAGAAGTTCCAGCATTTCCTTTTTATTCAATATTCAATGCATAGTTGCATTGTACTCCAAACGGCCAAAAATTTACAAGATCACAAATCCCAAATTCATCTGATTATTACCATTTCGAAACCCCAATCCTCTTTCCTTTAACTAAATCTAATTCCCTCCAAATTTGGGGTCGGCCACATAATTCCTTTATGTTCATAGCTAAGACAGAAATTAAAATTTACTGAGACTTTGAATTCCAAAATATAAAGTAATATCAAAACTACAGCTCAAAGAATAAGATATGGAAATAGAAAATATAGAGGTACTAACCTTCTCACCTCTCTCGATGTACTTAACAGCCACAAGCTCATTGGTCTGCCTGTCCCTCATGAGCCGGGCCACCCCAAAATTACCCGACCCAATATCCTTAACTAGTTCATACCGATCACTATCATGCATTATCGGCATATCCATTCCCGGTCCCGCCATCCCCGCCGGTCGATCCATCCAACCGAAAATTCCCAACCCCCAAAAATAAACTTCAAATTTCCACAAGTTCAAAAGCCCAAAATCACCATCAAAACATTGAATTCTGTTAGCTGAAGATAGAGATAGATAAAGTTACTTTGCTTGATCCCGTGAAGCCTCTACTTTCCGCAACAGATCACAATAATCAAGTTCCCAGCTACCCTTTTTTTAGGGTTTTGTAGTGCGTCACTTCAACTATAACATTACTAAATTTATATTGCTCGCACATACACATAGATACACATATATCTACAAATATAAAACTAAATTTGTTTCTTTGGGTAAGGAGAAAAGAGAACTCGTGAATTAAAGCTTGCTTTTGAGCTAAAATCACACCATCTTCTTCTACATGCTTCCAAAGATTGGTGATTTTTTAAACTTTTTTGAGTGGACAAAAAGGAAACGATTATAGTAGTTGTACTCTCTGAATCAGTGTAATACAGGTGGCAGTTTCAATACCAAAAATTGCACTACTGCTCTCCAACTATGTGCCCCTAAACCAAGTTAATCTTCGACTTTATCTTTGTGTCCATATTGCCCAAGTATTGGAAAGAAAGGAAAGGTAGGACGGTTAAGGAAAGGTAATATATTATAGTCGAGCAGTCGAGCACAAGACAAGAACGAGCAAGCTCATAACTGGGCAAAGAATCTTTGCTCTTCGTTTGCGATTTTACTGCCTATGTTCTTCTTCGTGTGTGTTTGTATCAAAAAGTTCGATCCCTTTTTTATTATGGCTGCACAATAAGTCCATATTTGACTCCATTTCTTAAAATTCATTTTTAATCATACATTTTATAGAATCAACAAAATTTTATCAACTTTTCAATTATATATTTCATTACCTTTTATCAAAATTCGCTAAAAATCCAATTTTATTTAAACTAAACAGGGGCCAAGTCCTGCAAGCTTAGAAAACCTTCAAATTCTTTTCGAATCACACATTCTTTTGATAATATTTTACATGTAAATTCAATTTTTTCCTTTGTTAATTATACATTTAAAAAAAACACTATTACAAACTAATTTTTCACAAATAATGAAGTTCAAACAGAGCTTAAATTTTCAAGTATTGAATCAAATTGAGAAGTGAGCATTAGATTTCTAGAATTTAAATGAGTGAGTACAATGTAATTAGTCGATATAAATTTGAAAGGTCAATCATTATAATTCAGAGACTATAGTAAAACGTTAAGGAATAATTTGCTTTCTCCAAAGATTGAGGGTCAACTTAGCATTTGAACAATAAAACGGGGACCAATTGGAATGACGACAAAGACCTTGTACCTAAATGGCGAATCTATCCTGTGGATTCGCGGACAAAGGTCCTTTTACGGAGGCGCACGAGAATGAAATCTTGTGTACACACGTGGTGGAATATGATTGGATATTCCTTGTAAATAAAGAGAGAAAAGGTTCTAGTGGGCCCGGCTAAATACAATGTTACAGGCTTTTGATTGGTTGTCAAAGTTGATTTCGAGGCAGCCCAGTGATTAAACGGCCCTTATTGGTTGTAGGCTGTGGCCCAATCATGTGCAACCATGGGATAAGAATAATTTCCCCACAAACTACAAGTAATAAAATTAAACTTTCTAGTAATGCAAAATTAAGCACTTGTTGGAGCGCCGTTCTTGCCAAAAAATGCGTGATTAAAAAAAAAAAGAAAAAAAAGTTTGAATTACATGTAATATTAAGCACTTGTTTGAGCCCGTTTGGCATGATTTTTGAAAAGTTAAAAGCAGTTTTTGAGTTTCAAAAGTTACTTTTGGACTTATTTGGCTAATTTTGTTAAAGTGTTTTTGGTGATTAGAAGAGTTTTTAGAGGATGTTGGTTCAATGTGACTTCCTCTGAAAGCACTTTCGGAATAGAAACTACTTTTAATATTAGTTTTCAAACAAAAATTTAAAATAACCTTCTACAAAAAGTAAAAGTAAAAGTTATGTCAAACGAATCCTAAGTGTAGCTAAAATATGATCAAATCACTGTTAAATAATGTATTTTAATGAAAATAATAAAGCTCAAACAAGGGCTAAGAGTGACAAATTCTTTACTGAACATTCTAATGGCCTGTTCGGTGGTAATTGTGAGAATTGATTTTTTTACTGTTATAGAGAAACGTAGGTCCCATCTGTGAATGAAGAAATAATAAAAAGACGGTTGAAATAATGAAATAACGGTGAAAAAAATTTAATTTTTTTGGATGAAAAATTGCTACCAAATTGAGTCTAATAATATTATCAAACTTATTAGTATCGATTTGGATCAAACGAAAGTAGTTGGTAAGAGGTTGCGATACAACGGTCATTATTGGTCGCATATAAAATAAAGCACAAAATCAACCGTAATCGTTACATGCCATTTTGGACTTCAACGTCATCTAAAAATAAATATTATTTTTCTTGCCTTCTCAGTCTAATAATGTTGTTTCAAAGTATAAAAAAAAATACTTTTTGGTACAATAACTTTAAGATTTTATAATTATTGCAATAAAACGGCACAAAAATCTTGACAAAAAATGNTTTTTTTTTTTTTTGGGTTAAAATTTTCTAGAATATGATTCGATGTTTGGCCCCCATTTTGTCAAAAACTCAATGTGCATTTGATTTACTGTTTTCAAGTTGTTTTCAGTTTTGTAAAATACAGAAAACGTGTTTGATATGTTATTTTTGAAAATGCATTTTCGAAAATAAATAAAAAAATTTAATTAAATAAAGATAAAATGGATAAAAATATTCTCAATCTACTTCATTGAACTTTTATTTTTATTTTACTTTTATAGCGAGAAAAAAATATTGTAAGAGTCATCAATATTTTAAAAATATTATAATTTCAAAATTTTAAATTAAACGTTCAAAATTACAAATCAAATGTGCTTTTAAAAATTTTAAAAGAGACCCTCGAAATAGAGAATTGAAAATTGAAACACAAATTAAATGGGCAATCATTTTTTCAATACTTATCTTTAATCACACATTTTTTCATAAAATAATATTACACGTAAATAAAAAATTATTTTTTAATCATATATTCTCCAAAGGATTACTATTTCAAAACATATTTTCAGACAAAAATGGAACTAAAACAAGGGCTAAATTTATATCAAAATTTGTAAAAATATCTAATTATGTTACATATAGATTATAGTGCCCATAAGGACATCCATAATCTACAAGTGATATAACATCATTGGAGAATTAAATAACAATATCGTGAAATTTGACGTGAATATTATGAAGACCTTTATGGACATCATATTATCCTTTAAATTTTTTTTATTTTTTATTTTTTATTATCATTTTTTAAACAACTTCAAGCTCAACTAAGGGCGCTAGTGGTGACTTCTCATTATTGCTAAGGATAAAGGTCCGGTCGACGGCGCCGCCATGGCAATGCTTCTAAGCAGCACCCATAACCCTCATCAGCTCACTCTACAACCCCATTTTTGTAATTACTTCATCATCTCTAAACAAACCCACAAATCCTCTTTACGCCCTTCCTTCACTTTTCTCCGTTCCGTCTCCTCCTCCCTCCATCGCCGCCGCCTCCCTGAACCCCACCAGAATTTCCCCTCATCCGCCGTTTCCTCCAGCAACTTGGTAGTGTACGATTTCGAAGAAGCAAAAGAAAAGGAGACAGAAAGTTACAATTTTGATGAGTCTTTTGAGTTGAACGAGTTGAAGCGATCTAACTCTCCGGCAGTGGAGATAAAGGAGCTGGAGGAATTACCGGAACAGTGGCGGCGTTCGAAATTGGCGTGGCTGTGTAAGGAGCTTCCGGCGCATAAACAGGGTACATTTACTCGAGTGCTCAACGCGCAGCGCAAATGGATTAGGCAAGAGGATTGCACTTTCATTGCAGTTCACTGCATTCGGATTCGCGAAAACGAGGCTGCTTTTCGTGTAAGATTTCGAGCCCCCCTGCTTAGTTTCCTAGTACTATAATTATGATTCAATAAGGATAATGTTTGATTGATCTGCAGTTGATTGAAATAATGGAAAATGAGAGAGAGAGTTTTTGAAAGCTTAATCTTACCTTCCACAGCATCAAATATAGTCTAAATTTATTGAAATGGATCTTTGAAAGGCATAATTATAGCTGGTTGCATGTACTGCTATCATTTCTAGAAAGAAGTGTGTCTGTATATGATGCTAAATAGTTTTTTTCTGCCAGAGAGGATCTGCGGTTTGTGTGAGTTCGACAAAATTTTCTACAAATTTTCCAGGAAACATGAGGTTGGTCTTGTATTTTTCAGGTATACAAGTGGATGATGCAGCAACATTGGTTTAAATTTGATTTTGCTCTTGCTACCAAGTTAGCCGATTACATGGGTAAGGAGCGAAAATATTTGAAATGTCGGGAGATTTTTGATGATATAATTGATCAGGGACTGATTCCTAATGAATCCACATTTCACATTTTGACTGTTGCTTATCTTAGTTCATCTTCCCAAAATTGTTTGGACGAAGCTTGCAGCATTTTCAATCGCATGATTCATTTGGGAGGTTATAAGCCTCGACTTAGCTTACACAATTCTTTATTTAGTGCTCTTGTGAGCAAAACAGGAGGATCTTGTAAACAATATCTTAAACAAGCGGAGTTCATTTTTCACAGTTTGACAACGTCTAGACTAGAAATACACAAGGATATTTACGGTGGACTTATATGGCTCCACAGCTATCAAGACGAGATAGATAAGAATAGGATTGAATCACTAAGAAACGAGATGCATTCCAAGGGGATTGAAGAGAGTACTCAAGTGCTCGTGTCAGTGTTAAGAGCTTGTTCTAAGGAAGGTTATCTAGATGAAGCTCAAAAAACATGGATAAAGCTTCTTTCTTGTAATAATAATCCTCCGAATCAAGCTTTTGTGTATCTAATGGAGGTTTATTCCCGGGTTGGACAACCTATGAAATCTTTGGAAGTATTTAGGGGTATGAAGGAACAAGTGGGTTCTGCTAGTGTAACAGCTTACTACAAGATCATTGAGGTATTGTGTAAAACTCGAAAAACTGAACTTGCAGAGTCTCTCACGGCGGAGTTTATAGATAGTGGATTGAAACCCCTGATGCCTTCTTTTATTCATTTAATGGAAATGTATTCCGATTTAAACTTACATGATAAATTGGAGTCAACTTTCTTCAAGTGCCTTGAGAACTGTCGTCCCAATCGAACTGTTTACAGTATGTATTTAGATTCATTGGTGCAAATCAGCAATCTTGAAAAGGCTGAAGAGATTTTTAGTGAAATGCTTGGTAATGCAGCGATTGGTGTCAATACTCGTTCATTCAACACTATGTTGAGGGGCTATCTCACCTGTGAACAGAATGTTAAGGCCGGAAAGATATACGATTTAATGCGCCAGAAGAAATTTGACATTGATTCTGCATTGA